GCATGTGCTTTGGTCAGCATCATTGGGTCAGATCCCTGGCCCTGCTACAGCTTCTTTGTGATGTTCCAGAGCTACAAACAGCCTCAAACTTAAGTTAGTGGGCTCGCTGAGAATTCACCCTACATAGGAGAGTACCTACATGGCACAGCAACTCTTATACCAATCTATTCCTGGCTCCTTAAGCAGGGGGTGTGACTAGGGGAATAGGCAGGGCTACATTGTTAGATAGTAATATGCTAATGTCAATGGGATCTGGGGAAAAGTTTGCAGCAGAGTATGAAAGCTGGGGAAAGTTGGGAGAGTTTGACTACTGTGTTTTTTTCACTAGCAAATCATACAGTTGCACTGGTGCAAACTTCTAGTGTAGACTTGCTGCAATGGTGTAAAAAGTGGTTTGCATTGGTGCAGTTTACCTCTGCCAATTGGGGACTGTTTTGAGCTGGTGTAGTTGGAGCAGCCTCGGTGCTGCTCTAACCTGTGGTGAGGCCAGTGCATGTGCACCAGGAGAATCAGAAAGCTGTTACCAGCTCCTTAATGCCCCCACTTCCTCTCCTGTACCAGTCGATCTCTGCACAGGAGACAACCTGAGTCACTGCATTTATTGCCACTACAAGCTAGGCATCAGTGTTTGAAATGTCTGAAGCAGTTTTTCAAGTTCACATGCAAGAATTCACCTTATATCTGTTAAACAGCATGAGAGGAGTATGGATGTTGGTTTGCAGTCTTGTCTATTAGATACTGTACAGCTAATAATGTCAGATGCTATGTTACTTTTCATCAAGACTGTCTTCCCTAGAAGCAAACACAGAAGTTAAAATTTTAATTAAAATTTCAAACCCATTTTACAGCTTATCGTAGTGACAAGTGCATCTCACCATGTTAACATTCAGGGTAGCATACTAAGGGCACGTCTTCACTACCCGCCCAGATCGGCGGGTAGAAATCGATCCCCGAATCGACGCGCATACTCCACCTCGTCAGGAGGAGTAAGCGGCGTCGATGGGGGAGCCGTGGCGATCGATTTGCCGCCGTCCTCACAGCGGGGTAAGTTGAATAGGATACTTTGACTTCAGATACGCTATTCGCGTAGCTGAAGTTTGCGTATCTTACATTGACCTCCCCCCCAGTGTAGACCAGCCCTAAGAAAATGAGCACAGACATCGTTGTAAAAGGAAATTCTGACAATTGTGGGACTGCAAAGGTAACCTACAGTAATATTCTGGGTTCTGTTGGGTTTAAAATACCAAAGAACAGTCAGTTGAAGGAAAACAATTTTGAGGACCTTTTATTATGGCCTACAGCTTAAGAGGTCATTGTGGAGTATTTGTTTTAGGACCTAGAGGCAAGATGGGGTGGGGGAACATCAGACCCGAACAAACTTCATGAAGGAGGAGTGGTGTTCAGCCACTCATCACTCCTAAAGAGACATCAAGGAGGAATTATCTAAAATTTGAGATCTGGGTGGAAGGACAAGAGCATCCCAAAGCCCACTCAGTGGTGTCGAAGACCCTGATCCTGCATTATTAAAGTCAATGGGAGCCTTTTTATGGACGAAGTGCAGAGTGGACTTCCTTTCTCTTTTACTCCCGCCTCTTGTAGCCCTTTAGACTGTGTTAGGGATACATTTGCAGTTTTGTGTATTAAATATTAGTTTCATTTTTTTCTTGTTAATGTGTTGTTGCTTGTTCAGTTCAGCAAATAAGTAGCCTAAATTTGATCTACCCTTGACATCTGGTCATGTTTCAACCAATACATGAGAGACTAGGGAGTTTCCATTCTGCTCTGAACAGTTATAAGTTAAAAAAGTGGGTGATGGAAGCTCCTTGGCTGTGGATGAATTCTCCAGTTAAGAATATGTCTTTGAAAGCCACAAACTAGAGGTAATCTAATTAGGGAAACACTTTCCATGCACAATTCTAGTTATAGTTCTAATGACCAATCATGTGGCATTAGAAAAACATCTAGAAAAACTCCCTACTTTGACCCACCAAAAGAAGTAACTATTTTTGTATTTTAGGGCATGAAAACTAAACTCAATCACTAGACAGTAGAATTGTTGAAATAAAGCTAATACACCCATCAGTGAAAATGTAATTAAACCACTTCTCAATTATGTTGTAATTTGATGGGATTGTAAGGCAGAACTGAGTTCTAACCATCACATCATACTCTTTTTCTTCAGATTTTATTTTTCTTTGCTCAGTTGTGGTGATACCCTAATTAAACCTGTAGGCTGCGGTGGAATCAGTGTTAGAATTATATTTTCTAAATGATTTCTCTGCATTGATATATGTAATTTACAAGTCATATGAAAGCTCTTATTATACTGTATCTTCAGATTCAAACATCTATATGAATTTGAATTTAAACCAAAATAAACTTAACTTGAATTAACATTTCTTTCTGGTTTTTTTTACATTTTTTTCCCTTTGTCACATTTTTCTTCCTTTAATCGCCTTTTGCATTCTATGGAGGCTAACCGTTTTATTCATGTGAGAGTTTAAGAAATGGGCATTTGAATTCTTGAGAAGTACTGATGCATTAATAAGCTCCTGCTGGGTAAAAAGTACAGGATTTCCTGAAACCCTACAATACAAGTTCAAATATTTGGAGTGTGTTTGAAGATTTCCCCATTACAGAGAATTTGAAAGAAATCACACAATACGGGAATAACGTAAAACTATTTTTATTGAAAATACATCTACAAAGTAATGTTTCTCAATCCACATTGGGTGCAACCAAATGCAGAGCCAATGAGAGATGGGGAATGGAATCTTTCTATAGTAATTGATTTCCATAAGAAACAAAGTTAGTAAAAAAAAAATCACAAACTTTGTGACACAATTCATTTTTCTCAACTTATGTCATAGAAAGACAACCTTTTACATTAAGTCTTTGCAGGGTATTTCCAAATAGAGTCTCAACAAAAATTAAACTGTTACTCCAGACATTCTAAAGTTAACTTTTATAAACACACATTGAATACAGGATCTATATAAAAATATCTCTAATTACATATCCAAAGATGCCTGTCTGCATTCTAGATTTTCATCCTGTTAGCAAAAAAAGTTCACACTTTATTACTTTCAGTCAGAGATTCATCTAGGGCTTTGAGGTGATTAAAGCACTGACTGCTGAATACTCTCGGCTAAATTCTGCTCACTTCACTCATGAGTTGTTCCTGCTCACATTGACTGGGCTGCTAAAAATGAATAGGATTTGTCATTCTTGGAAAAAGAAGCCTGCCTTGTTGCTTTAAAAGTGGGAAAAGACTGCCCTCAATTATCACACTCATATTTTCACCAGTTACATTGACATTTACACATCAATTCTTATGGTCTTCTAGAGACAAAAGCTACAGATGTTCTTAAATGTTTGGCAAGTGGCAGTTGTGGTATGACATGGGAATGTCTCAGTTCTGTGTGTGTGTGTGTGTCTCTCTCTCTCTTTTTTTTTAGTTCAGAACAAAACCAAACATTTTCAAATAAAATAGACCACTCAACCAGTTTTGTGCTTGTGGATTCGTATTCCTCAGCTACCTCTCTCTAACTGCACCATAAATCTTTCCAGTTTGACTCCTACAGTAATACAAGGAGTGGAAAAGGAAAATATATACAATTAATATTTTTCATAAAAGGGTTTCTTCAGGGAATAATCTTGAAATGAACAAAAAAAAGCCATAGGATTCGGAGTGTATTTCTCCCCCCCCCCTTTTTTTTCTTTCCTTCTCTGTGACTTGAAGGAGATCTACAATATTACTCTTAAAAATCTTTTCTTATTATATTTTTAAAATTTATTAAATGTATTTACTATTCTGCAGTTTATATATTTTTTTCCTAGTAAGTAATAGAGCACCCATTAGTTTTGCTTTCTAAAAAATTATTTTTTATATTTGAGATGCTGCTGGTAAACCCACAAAGATATGGGAACCTCCCAGTGGGATGGGGAGTTCTCTCCCCTGTGTAAAATAAGGTACATTTGGCTAATAGTTTTACTACTTATTCATGGAATGACACCAGGCTAATTGATGACAAGATTTCCATTTTTTGAAAGTGACCTCTTGGTCACAGGACTTCCAGCAATGCAATTTCAGCAACACAAAGATAGGTTTAGAGCCCCATCCAGTTAGGTTCTGCGCATCTCTTGCCAGGTATGAAGTACCTCTTGCAACGTGCTGGCCCTCTCTGCTATTTTTATTACATATTATTTAGATTGTGAATGCACCCACAGTGTGCTATGTGCCTTCTGAGCACAGATGAAGTACACTTCCCACCCCAAAGAGCATACAATCTAGGGCCCTGATTCTTCAAGCACTTCTCTGCATATGTGTAACATTGCTCATGTGAGTAGTGGCATTGAAGTTAAGGGGACTACTCAGGTGAGTGAAAATACGCATATGTATAAGTGTGTGCTGGTCAGTGGAAACTGAAAGTGCTAAGCACTTGTCAAGAACTGGCCCTCACTGACCCTAAAGTGTCCTATTAAGATGAAATCACCTCCTCAGAAATGACATTTCAGCTCAGCTGATAAAAGTGCTGATCGTGGGTATTTTTTTTACCTGAACATCTCTACTTTTTTTTAAATTTAAAAGTCCTCCTTTTTATTGTCCTGCTAGTAATAGGATAAAGAAATAACATATCACCAGAAGGGAAAAAAAGCAATCCTGTTAATTTCCTTGTTTGGGTGCAGTTGTCAAGTTAAAAATGTTGATTTGTGTGCTTACTGATGTTAAGAAATGGGCAATAGGTATTTAAAAAAATAAAACCCTTTTCAGGCTGTATTATCTATTGTGACTTTCCAGCTTATAAAAACAAGATCACATTTACAGGATTGAGTAACATATACACTGGTATGTTTTTTAATGATTTAATAGACACTCTCCCTCTTCCCATCCCTGTCCCCTCACAGTTAGCACATCTCCAGCAGGACCAGTATGATAACTCGTTAATTTTTTTTAAAGTGGGACGCAAACACATACCTTGGTCACTGCTAATTCAGAATGTTTTTGATTAACTCTGTTCCAATGCTATCATATGGGAGAAAGCAAGATATAAATGGACTTCTTGAAAACAAGATATAAATGGTTGTAGAAAGTATATTTCCCACACTTCTAGTGTTGGACTCATGCCTGATCTATCCTACATCTTGGTTTCACTGTCTAATGGTTTTACGCTCTCATTTTCCTGTGAGATCAATTGGTATGGTTTTTTCATTTCGTTTTCCTCTATCACAGAATTACCCATCTCAGCATCCCTGCTCTTCAGCTCATTCCGTGACAAATGTTCAACAATCCCTGCACCAATGGAGTCACCCAAGACATTTGTAGTGGTACGGAGACGGTCCCTGTGGAAAATAATTGAGTTAGTCTTATTTTCCCCACTTGTTTAAGTGAAACATTCAGAGTCTCTGTGTTAAAATAGCTTTTGAAAATAACCATGAGATGATCCAATATTTCTATGTGTATTAATTTATCAGAAATGTTAATAGCATTATTCCATCTTTGCGGAAACTAACAATTGTACCAGAATTCTAAGTCTAATGCAGTGACCTGAGACATAATGTTACTAGCCATTTCACAGGAGGATATGATTGCTGTGTTATGAGGTGATCCGAGCAGAGTGGGCTTGTGGCAGTTCATGTTTGGGGGCTTGTGAGTATGTTACAATAAGTCAGCTGTAATGACCTCCTGATATCTGAATTGACTGAATGTTGCCTTCTTAGCTGTCATGCCCAAAATGAAAATAAACTATTGTAAATAATCTAGGGTGAGATTCATGCGTGGTGCAAAGGTCCAGAGCAAGGGCCTTTGTACCACTTAAGTCCCCAAAATGGTTGCATATGGAGACTGCAGGCATGCAGCCTGTCACTGGGTGACTAGCCCCTTTCTTTAAGGGCAGATGGGCCCAGCCCTGCCTGTGACTGATCAGTTGCATCCCAATTGAGGTTTTTGAGGAGCTGGGTGCTGGTCCATATAAAGGCCAGCAAGAGCTCAGTTGAGCTGTAAGATGGCAGGAATGCTCCTGTATGAGTCCCTGTGTTAGGAGAAAGATCTGGAGTGGCTGAGATGTGAAGGAAAAGCATCTGGGAGTTGTAGTCCATAGTGGGCACAGGAAATAATTTTTGACATTTTTGCTTAAGGTTTGGTTCAACCAATACTCTGTTGTGACATTATTTCTTCTTGGGCTAGTGGACAGCCCAGCAGCTTACCCAGCTCTGCAGGGGTGTAAATATAACCCCTACATGCTGTGAAAGAGTTGCACAGAAGGCCCCAATGATAAAGGGCTGGAGGAAGGTCCACAGAGGAGCTACTGAGACATGTTTATGTAAACTTAGTGACTCCCAACACAGTCCATAGGCTGGAATAACAGCTGGAGAGGAAGAATGCACAACAATCTTGGATCCAGGCTGGGACTGGATTTCACCTTCTCATCACATCCACCTGCCTAGACCTTAAATGTTTGGGATCTATGCACATGGTGAGAATTTCACAGAGTTTGTGATACCCTTAAAAACTGAACATTGTTGCCATACACTACTGTTGGGGTAAAGTTCAGTTTTCTTTCTGGTACTCACTGAATCACAACATGAGCCATGGTGCTGCTGTATTTTCAGTCCTAGAAGTAGCACCATCCATAGGCAACCCTGTGAGGAATAGCGTAAAGCGTAGGGATGGGCAAATGATCCTAGTATTGGGGAACTGTTTAAACCCCCATATATCTCATCTGAATTCCCTTGTACTCCCTCTCAATGGGCTCAAACACTTTGCTACACTTACTTTGAGCTGCTATAAGGAAGTGGGGGTGGTGGTAGGAATGAACAGCTAGGTGATCTCTCATCCCTGTATGAATGTCTTCCATGGGAGAACAACAGCCATTTCATCTCTACTCTGCCTTCTCACTTTTAGCAGCATTCCCCTTTACCCTGCCCAGATAAGAAGCAGGACTGTGAAAAGGACATAACATAAGAATGGCCATACTGGGTCAAACCAAAGGTCCATCTAGCCCAGTATCCTGTCGTCCAACAGTGGCCAATGCCCGGTGCACCAGAGGGAATGAACAGAAAAGGTAATCATCAAGTGATCCAAACAAATACTCTCTGAAGAGTTGGGATGGAGAAAAGGGGAAAATGGCTGCTATCCTTTCTTGACAGACATTGACATGGAGTGGAGGAACACCTACCTCTTCAATTACCCCAGCCCCACAAAGGCATCTCCAGGTAAGTGGAGCAGCCTGTCTGTCACCCTTATTTGCACTGGCAGACATGGAAAGGTTCCTGGCTTCTGCTGCTGACAGTGATGCTGTTCTATCCCAATAACCATGCACAGAGAAATGCAGCTGGGCCTAAGGGGATTCCACAAGTACTTACAGATGTAGGAATGCTGCTCAGTGTTCTCCTCCTCTAGCACAGTTGTTCTCAACTGGGAGTCCATGGCAGCTGAAGCCTGGAGCCCTGAGCCAGCCCCCCACTCCCTTTCTCTGGCCCTGGAGTTTTTATAGCATGTTGCGGGGATCTCAGAAAGAAAATGTCGAGAACCCCTGCTCTAGCAGACACAGGGGTGGAGAAACAAATGAGTCAGCCACATTAGCCAAATGTCTGGCCATATTCAGATGGCTGATAATGCTAATATGCATATTATTCAGAAGACTAATTATTCAATTCACCCATCCTTAGGGAAAGCACACAAACCTTCACTGGTTTGTACAGCCAGAAGGGTTGGGATAAATGAGCTCTGAACTGAGCCACTGAATTTTCAGACTTTGAGCCTCCTTCATGGTAGGGTAAAACTTTATTCTTCAAAATAACCACATTTTTCAACTATTTTCAGTAAAGGAATAATCCAACTGATCACATGACTTGCAGGTTCAGAAATTATCAGAATGTCCCTGTCCAATGTATTTTATAATATGCTATAGCCCTTTAAGCACTCTGTAAGAAATACTCACAAGAACCAGTCCACTGCAATGATAAGAGTGATGTCCTCTGTAGGCAAACCAACAGATGTCAACACAATGACCATGGTGACCAGTCCAGCCTGAGGAATTCCTGCAGCGCCAATACTGGCAGCTGTAGCTGTGATGCTATGCAGAGAGATGACAGTGAAGAAATAAGTCAATTTCCAAAAATAATTCTCCTTACTATTTAGTAAACATTTTAAAAGTTAAGAAAATTACTGACTTTAGGATGAATACATGTTATAATTATGATAGCAACTAGCAGCCCCAGGGATGGAGCAGCACACCATTGTACTAGGCACTGTACAAACAAAAGAGGAAAAGATAATTGTCCTAATTGTATAAAGGCTCTAGAGAAAAATCTGAATCAAGGCAGGCATTCTAGTGGGTAGTTTTCTTTTTGATTTTTCATACAATTTCACATTGTTGGAGAAACACATGATGCAGAGACCTAAGGGTTCTTTAAGTAGAAATGCCTGTTTTAGAGATGGGTCTGATCTAAATCCCCAATCTGAACACATGCAAATTTTATGAAAGTGTGGATCTGGATCAAAGCTTCATAGTTAGCCCTTATCTTAATAATGGGTCAAACTGAAACCCTGGATCTAAGCACCTTTTGGACTTTAGAGAAATGTGGATCTCGATCTGAATTTTCTTGGTCTCATCTCATCTCATCTTTGATAAATAATCTTCTGTATCTTATGGAGGAATCAAGATTTAAAGCACAGATCTAATGATAACACATCATTTATGATCCCTATGTAATACTGGAGAACTTAATCTAGAAGACAGTATCCATATAATCCATGGCAAGTTTCATATATGTACTGGAGAGCAGATATCCAGAATCAAAATGAGTCATGAGGCTTTTGAATTTTGAAAAGCAGAATTTTCCCTTGTCTTGATTGAATATTGAACTAGGATGACCGTTCTTAAAACTATAAATGCTTCTTACAGCACAAAGTTCATAATGAACAAAATTTGAGATTTCTCCAATTAATTTGTATTCCCTTAGCATTGGTATTGTAGCATGTTACTGTGCTGGTTGTTTATGGTACGTACTTAACATGCAGATGAATCACAAATAGAAACAGACAATTAGACAACACCAACTACTTTGCTATATCTCAATAACACCATTTCTGCTCCTAGCATTCTTCATAGTAATAACTTTCTCTAACACAAGTTGCAACTGGAGTATGCACCCACTGGACAGCAGAATATAAATCTACAGCTCTTCAATTCTGCATAGATACTCAAGCTATCTAAAGTAAAATACTTTTAAAATTATGGCTATTGCTGACCCTCTTAAATGCAATGATCAGTTGTTCACATCATTGTTATTTAAAGGCACCTTGAATCAAAGTATATAGATAATGGCTTCTGTACCTGATTGTGATAATCTGCCCAAAGTTCAGTTCAAAGTTGTTAACTTGTGCGATGAAAATTGCAGCCAAAGCCTCATATAAAGCAGTCCCATCCATGTTAATTGTAGCACCCACTGGGAGCACAAATCTTGTAATACGCTTGTCCACTCCATTATTCTCTTCCAGACATTTAAATGTTATGGGTAGGGTGGCAGAACTAAAACAAGAAAAAAGACAATATAGATAAATACTCATTTATATAATAATCTTCTATACAAGAGAGGAGTAGGCCTGAAATAGTGTCCAAAAGCATAAAAAAATTAGTCTATGACAATGAATTTATTCAGTTATATTAGCCTACGTATAATATTATAGCATAGATTTCTCAGGTTTAGATACAGGTCTGTTGCATCTTAGGCGCATTTAACATGTGCGATTTCAGCTTTATGCGGTCAGCAAAAACCAAAAAAACAAAAAAACAAAAAAGAGAAAAATAACAATTTAAATACTGTTTGTGTAGTGCGGGCGATTCCACCCGCCATTACACCCAATGTAATTTTGACTATACGCGATTTTTGCTTTAGGCGCTGACGGCGGAACGTAACCCCAACGTAAGATGAGACAGACCTGTATTGTTTTAACTTTGTGGCCATAGTAATTACAGCAGTACCTCCAGTGACATTTATAAATTTCTTCATGGCAGAAAACCACCTTTTAGAATAATAGAATATCAGGGTTGGAAGCAGGGCCGGCTCTAGGTTTTTTGCTGCTCCAAGCAAAAAAATGTTTGGCTGCCCCCCACCCCAGCCCTGAGCTCCCCCCAAACCCGCACCTCCTGCTGCCCAGCTCTGAGCTTCCCCCCACCCGTACCCCCCTGCCGCCCCAGCCCTGAGCTCCCCCCCCACCCGCACCCCGCTGCTGCCCCAGCCCTGGGCTCTCCCCCGCCCCACACCTGCACCCACACCTGCCCCAGCTCTGGGCTCCTCCCTTTCCCCCCCACCTGTGCCTCCCCCACCCACACACACCCTGCTGCCCCAGCCCTGGGCTGTCCCCCCTCCACCCACACCCTCTGCCACCCCAGCCCTGGGCTCTCCCCCGCCAACTGCACCCTCCTTCCACCCCAGCCCTGGGTGACTGGTAACTCACTCCCAGGGTGGGTCATTCAGCAGGAATTTTGGATGTGCACAGAACACAGACAGGTTTGGTTCCTATATGGTTACAGAACTCTAGTAAAGTGGAACAATTTTCAGCTTGTGTGATTGGAGGATATCTGGATGCATATTATAAAACTGTCCTCCATAAATGAGGAAAAGTTGAGGTGCCTTTATTATTTTTTTGTTCCACTCTTTGTTTCTATGGGGAAATTTGCCAATGCAATATCACTGTCTTCCTTTTAAACAAATAAAACTATTTTTTTTTTAAAAAAATGGCAATGGCTGTTGAAAATAGTAATTCTAGTCCTAATAACCACTGGGAAGCATTTCTTGCTCAATTTTATCCTACTTTTTCTACAGCAAGTTAGAGTGGATCAGTATATTTGATTTGGGAGAAATGAAGTAACAGCTGCCCAAATTGAGCTTGAGCA